CTGCCAAGTCCGACGCGTCGCCGATGCGTCGGCGATGCAGTGCGATCTCACGACCCCATTCGCTATGCTTGCAGTTGGGCGGCCTCTAGTTCGGCGTTTGCTAAGGAGTTGCTCGAGGCCTTTGGAGGTCCCCCCGTGCTTCTGGAAGATTTTGTGACCTTTCTGAAGGATTCCGCGGGTCTCCTGAGGTTCCCCAGTGCTTCTCCATGGTCTTCGATGGTTTCTGGAGGATCTTGGGATCTTCGGAGGTTTCTCATTGCTTCGGGATGGTCTTCGATGGTTTCGGATGGTTTCCAGAGGTCTTCGGAGGTTTCCTCGTGCATCTGGATGGTTGTTGTAGGTTTCTTGGGATCTTCGGAGGTTTCTCACTGCTTCTGGATGGTCTTCGATGGTCTCGGGTGGTTCCCAGAGGTCTCTCCGGAGGTTCCCTCGTGCATCTGGATGGTCTTGGTAGGTCTCTGGAGGAGTCTGGAGGTCTTCGGAGTGCTCCTCGGGTAAGCGGAGGACGAGGGGCCGAGGGGGGCCGAGGGGGGGGCTCTAGGGGGCCGAGGTGGTGCAGCACTGGTTCTCGCCAGCAGGGGGGGGGGAAGGGGGGGCCTCTCGTCGCCACGGCTGGACGCGGCTCGAGAAAGTGGTCCGTTTCGACCCCAGGAGGGGTCTGGGGACAGATTTTCAGAGCCCCGAATCATCAGGGGTAACTCGGGTCAGGGATAACTCGGGTTCGTTTTTTCGGGAATCCGAACCCGAGTTACCCCGGACCCGAGTTACCCCGGATAACTCGGGCGTCCAGAGCCCCGAATCATCAGGGGTAACTCGGGTCAGGGATAACTCGGGTTCGTTTTTTCGGGAACCCAAACCCGAGTTACCCCGGACCCGAGTTACCCCGGATAACTCGGGCGCCCAAGATTTCGGAGCGGACGTGCCATCGTCCCCCGCGCTCGATCGATTTTCGTGGGCCCATCCAGCGCAGGTAGACTCTCTGGCCGCTTCCAACGGGGAAATGCGAAGGAGACCTGCCCCAAAGAGGTGCTGGGGAAGAAGACAGGCGCATGTGCATCGTTGTTGGCTCCGATCCTTCCCGTGATGATAGGATGATAGGGTGGGAGTTCAAACATCGTAAGCATAATGGTGTGTAGATTGTGTCGTGCGCTTCTGCTGTGCTCTGGGCATCGGGGGCCCGGCCCAACCCCCAGGCGTTAGCAATTGCTTGGGGAAGCCAGGTCCCCACAGAGGAATCGGGGCAGCTGCAGTGTGTTCTTACTCCCACGCGCCCTGAGGGGCAGGCGTGTGGCGTGTTCCCAACGTTCTCTCTCTCTCTCTTGTTCTCTCTCTCTCTCTCTCTCCCTATATATATACACATATATATACATATATATATATATGCATACATACATGCAAGCATACAAACATACAACCATACAAACATACATACATGCATGCATGCATGCATGCATGCATGCATACATACATACATACATACATACATACATACATACGTACATACATACATACATACATACATACATACATACATACATTATGTGTATATATATATATGTTCTCCACGGTCCGGGCCGGCTGCTAAGTCGCTGGCGACGTCAGAAATTGCGGTTTCTGCATCGTTGCGTTCGAGAAAGCGACTGCGCGCAACGAGTTCATGGTTGCGTTCCAGGCGGGGCCGCCGCGGTTTCTTGTTCCACAGTCATTGCATCTAAGACGCACCCCCCCAGACAAGGTGACAGAATCACCGCGGACGGCAGAACAATTGTCGCAATTCAGTTGTCCTACGAGGGGACCTACCTGAAGAGGCCATGAATTGGGGCGCCAGCCTCCCAATCTTCAAGGCTAAACTATTGAGCTGATCCTGAAGGTGTGCAGGCAGGGGAGGCGCCTGGGAAGTAGTATGGGATCGTTTGTGCCTACTCCCAGGAGCCCGTCCATAACTTTGACACACACCTCTTTGTGGCAGACGGCCAGACAAGCGTTCCATCCACATTTGGATCGCGTTGGGGCTGTTTGGGAGGCAGTCTTGCGCCCATTTGGGGGCCAGGTATGACAGTACTGCGGCCCTCTCGAGGACCTCTTGAGCCTTCCGGAGGCCCGTTTAGGCTTTTCGGCCAGGTTGGGGCCACATTGGGGGCCTGTGGCTCCGTCGTTGATGCTCTGGAGGCTGAAGGTGGACATACCACAGTCAAAATAAACAGACATTGCAATCATGTGAGCTGCTGCTGGTGGAAGCTGTAAGGAAAATGTGCGAGGCGCCTGAGCGAGAGCACGATTTTGAAAAGTGACCGCCCTTCAGTTGAGCAACTGCGGGAAATCTCAAGCTCCGCCATGTTAACGAATGCAAAGGCGACAGCTCGATGTTCGCAAAGGAACAGCCTCCGTCCCTATAGTTGCTTGTGGTTCCAAGCTGCAGGATCATATAAAGCGTGAGAGAGCATCACGCGATATCCACTATTTGAGCACGTGCCGCCCTCCACTTGCGTAGACGTTGCAACATGCAAGTGCGGCAGCAATGACATGTGATGCTGCAGCTCACCAGGCATTGCCACCACCGGTGCGTTCATTAGCGCCAGCACGCTTCACAAACATAAACCCTAAACCCCACACCGTTGGGGGTTTAGGGTTTTGGGTTTTGGGGCCCACTAGCCCAAACTTGAAGCCTGTTGGACGTGTTCCATCCACCAGTGACCAAAGACATATTGATCTCAAACGACGACGACGATACCGATGACGAAGACGACGATATTGATTCCAAAACGACGACGACGACGGTCGCGCAAGGTCTTCTGGGAAGCAGCTGCAACGGCGATGTGGCACGCGCGCGCGACGACGCGATTTGAAGAACAACGTATATTTACGCGAGTCCCTGTGCGTTGCAGGGACGCCGCCCAGCGGCGGTGAGATTGCATGGAGTGGCTGCGCAACGTGCGCGGAATAGCTCGTTGCTTCGAGGAGACGGATCCCCAGTTCGCATCCTTAACAGTGCGGCGCGGTGCGGAAGGCCGATGAAAGGGCGATGCGGCGCGCGCACGCGAAGTGACAAAAGCGAGTAGCTCCCCGCAGCAATTTACCGACGCCTTGGCGATGCAGACCCCGGCTTGCCACGAGGCGCGCGGGATTGTCCGTTGCTTGGAGGGGGCGTTCCCCCGCGACGCAGCGCGCGAAGGCCGATGCATGGGCGATGCAGGATCTGCGTGAGGGGTGCGCCCTGAGTTTTGCACATCCTCCTAGACCGCCATTCCTGGCGCTCCGAGGCCAAGAATCTGCGTGAGGGGTGCGCCGAAATGGGGGGCGGCATAAGGGAGCGCAGAAGGAGGTGTCGAAGGAGTTTTAGGATTCAAATCTGTATTGGCTCTTAGTTCTTTGGGATGAGGGTTTAGGGTTTAGGGTCCACTAGCCCAAGCTTGAAGCGTGTTGTACGTGTCCCACCCACCCATGACCCAGGACATGTTGACCTCAAAACGACGACGACGATACCGATGACGGAGACGACGATGTTGATCTCAAATCGACGACGACAACGACGACGACGGTCGCGCAAAGTCTTCTGGGAAGCAGCTGCAACGGCGATGCGCCACGCGCGCGACACGACGCGATTTGAAGAACGACGTATCTTTACGCGAGTCCTTGTGCGTTGCAGGGACGCCGCCCAGCGGCGTTGAGATTGCATGGAGCGGCTGCGCATTGTGCGCGGAATAGCTCGTTGCTTCGAGGAGACGGATCCCCAGTTCGCATCCTTAACAGTGCGGCGCGGCGCGCGAAGGCCGATGCAAGGGCGATGCGACGCGCGCGCGAAGCGACAAAAACGAGTAGCTCCCCGCAGCAACTTACCGACGCGTTGGCGATGCAGACCCCGGCTTGCCACGAAGCGCGCGGGATTGTTCGTTGTTTGGCAAGAGCGTTCCCCTGCGACACAGCGCGTGAAGGCCGATGCATGGGCGATACGACGCGCGCGCGAAGCGACAAAACGGCACCCCAGAACACCTTGCTGATGCTTTGGCGACGCATAAACCAGATAGACGCAAAACGCGCGGGGCGGTTCGTTGCTTCCACGAAAAGGGTTCCCACGTTTGCATATTTGGAAGTGCGCCGCGGCGCGCGAACACGATTCCTGGCATTCCGAGGGCAAGGATCTGCTTGAGGGGTGCGCCGTGCGGTTTGCAATAGTTCTCAGAACACTACCCCTGGCACTCCGAGGGCAAGGATCTGCGTGAGGGGTGCGCCAAAATGGGGGGCGGCATAAGGGGGCGCATACGGGCGCCATAAGGCATTTCAGGGTTCAAATATTTATATGATCTTACTTCTTATGGGCGGCGTCCCAGGCGAGTGCCACATTTAGGCCCGGATGTTCGGTTCGTGCTCCCTTTATTGGTCCCCTTTGGGGGCCGTTCTGGGGACCTGCAGGGCCGTTTTGGGCGCCTCTTGAGCGGTCTTCGGGCGTTCCTAGGCCGTTTTTGGGTCCTCTTGGAGGCCTCGTTGGCCGCCTTGGGGTGGTCATGGTGGCCTCTTAGGCCGCCTCGGAGCTGGAAGCGTCAGAAAGCCGAAAATGCGAGAACACCAGCATCCTTCAAAGACCTGAGGAAAATGATTGATTGATGCCTCTTGGGGCCCTACTGGGATGCCTCTTGGAGCGTCTTGAAGGCCTTGGGCCATCTTGAGGCCATTTAGAGCGTCTTGAAACGATCTTTCGGCGATTCGGGGTCCTCTTGGACTGTCTTGGGGGCCTCGTGGGGCCCTTTTGACCCGTCCTGAGGCCTTTTGGGACTGGGAAAAGTCATGCGAGACCAGCCAAGGGGCACGCGAGAAACCCCAGAAGATTTGGCAATTTCGGTTCCGGGCCCCTTGAGAATTCTTCTGGAGTGAGGACTTAGGCTCAGGGGATTGGGCAAAGGACCTGAGGACAGGCCCACGCCGTGCCCAGCGGCACGGTGGTGGATGTTGGAAGCTATATTGAACCACTGTGGACTACCGTGGAACATCTTGTGGGCAATCGTGGGTTGTCTGTGGTCATCTCAGACCCTCTAACCCCTCACCCTGGTCTCGACCTCAGGAGAGGATCTTCCCCTGACAAGACGGGCGGACCCTTCAGTCGATGGGCGGCCACAAAGCCAGCGTGAGGTGGACTGCGGGATGGCCCAAGACGCCGCCCAGACGACCCCTGACGGCCAGACCAGCCCCTTGAAGCATGCCAAGACAGCTTCCAACATCTTCAACAGAGGCCCACGGAGGGCCCTGCGAGAGGTCGAAGGCGGCTTCAGGGGTCCTCGAGGCGCACCAGAGATGGCTTCCCCAAGCAAGCTGGCCATCAGAAGGCCCCCGGGAGGCTTCGCAGGGCCGAGGGGGGGAGAAGGCTTCCGGCGTGGGGCAGGTGGAGGGTTGTAAACCCTCACCGAGGGAGAAGGAGGGGCTCCTCCACCTCCTTCTCCTCCTCTGGAAAAACTGCGGTCGGACCGAGGAGCGAGGAATAAGATCGAGGTCGGTTTGGGGAGGGTGTCCTAATGTTCTTCGTGTTTGTTGGATGTTCTTGTGCATCTTGGGGGAGGGCATCCTCGAATGTGTCCTTGGGGGAGGGTCTCGCGTTCTTGAAGGATATTAGTATGTCCTGAGTCCTGCCGTAACTAACTCGTTGGACAACCGAGTTATGTCCAGAGGATTGGTGGGACTTGTGAGGACGTCTCAGGCAGAACTCCTGGCCCTCGCTGCAGACACTGGATGGAGCGGCGAGGATGAATTATGCATGAGGAGCAGTGCAAGAGGAGGGTCGGATGGAAAGGGAAAGGAAGAGGACTGACTCGCCTGTGACGTCGTTCACCGCAGAGGTCATCGCATTGGACGATGTTGGGGCCTATGTTTCTCGCCGCGCTTCTGGCGCAGCTGGCCAGGAGAAGGGAGCTAGAGTGGACATCTGACACACATGAATATGACCGTCTAGGCATGTCACTGTGTGGCTTGAGGCCTCCAACAGAAAGGAACATAACGGAGGAGGAGCAAGAGGAACATGACTTGGAGGAGGAGGAGGAGGAGGGCGGTGGCGCGGCCCTGGGTAGTGCACTTTCTCTTCCGCCGCCTCCTCGCCTCCCCATCGTCACCCTCCTGTGCATCTGCAGCGGCACCTCGGACGTGCTTCCTCACGGCTGGGGGAGGGAGGGCGGAGGAGGATGGGGCTTTTGCTTTGATCCGGATTCGCCGACCCTTTGGGAAGTTGAGCGTCTCGTCTGGCACAGGAAGACCGAGCAGCGGATGTGCAACCTATGGCATTCGGCGTCGGCGAGGCTCACGAAGGGCGACTTGGTCCAGTGGGTGAGCCAGCTCCCCGACGGACGGGTGCGCCCGAGGGCCAAGCTCCGGACAGCGAAGGCCAATTTCTGTTGCCGTGGAGACGAGGCCCGCACTGGCGACAAGGCAAGGGGAGGTGGGTGCTGCTAACGGTTAGCAGCACCCACCTCCCCTTGCCTGAACCACTCCATAGAGACCAGGACGTTCACTTTGCCAGGAGGATCAGAGGTGTAGGAGAGGTAGGAGAACACGTGCAGGGCAGGAACCCGCATAGGGAATGGAAGCCCCACCACTCGGTTCGCAGTTTCGGGGGGAAGCCGTCCAAGTTCGCGCCAGCGGTCCCAACCAGGAAAAATGACGAGGGCAAGAGGCTAGGCAGCAGAACAGAGATACCTGGCTTCATGCAGGGATATTTCGCCAACCTTGAAAGTCGTAGGGCAATGGCTGTCGGGGAGGTTGGGAGCGAGTGCAGCCAAGCCAACGACGCCACAAAACATATCGACCTGATCTCCACCAGAAGGGAGGTCAGCAGGTCGTAGGCGGGCGCTTCCGGAGGCACAGCCGGAGGACCGGATCCCAAGATTGATGAACTTCACACAACCGCGCCCCAGCAGATTGCTAGACTTGGGCACCCTGCGGGGTCACAAAGAAGTGTTGCTCGACAGGGAACTGCTGATTTCCAGCAGAGGGCGTGTCGTCATATAGCCGGGGATAACGAGGGCAAGCTGCATGATGAGAACAGACCGCCGTCAGGTTCTCTCGGGTCGCGTGGCAGCCAAGGGCCATTAACAAGTGCGTGAGGACCAGGTGGGCCGGCATCCATCCAGCGGCGCTGGAGCAGACCCAGCGCGGAGGCGGGCCGGTCAATGGGCACGGACTGCGCCGCGCACGCTGCCCTTTGCACCCTGCAGGCCGTCGCGTGCAGGCGCCGCAGCGGCAGCCTGGCATCCACAGACCTGGCGGGGTCGGGCGGCGCTCCAGTTGGCGGCGGTGCTCCCGAGGTCCAAGGCTCATTCTTCGCGGTCATCCAGCGTGGCGACTGTCTGTTCTCCGTCGCTGTTTTCTCGTGTGCCTTCGGCATCCATAGACCTGTACTCTGCTTGTTGTACCGTGGGGGCCCATGCCAAGAAGCACCCTGCTTGCCTCTAGGGTGCCTTGGGCTTCCTGGGCTTCGATGGTTCTGATGTGGAAAGCGTGACGCTCCCGCACCGAAAATCAAAGGACGTCCTGGGGTGTCAGTTCTGGGCTTCTTGTGGAAAGTTTCTTGTGGGCTGGCTTCCACTGTACGGCGTTGAAAGACTTCGTTTTGAGGTTTGTCGAGGGAGCCAGAGACCATTCAGGACCTTGTGAAGAATTCGAAGATCCAAGAAGCTCCCCAGGATGCAGTAGCTCAAGCCACGGCGAAGTCGGCCAGTTCACAAGCCGAGCGTCAAGATAAGCACCTGGCGGCACCCACTTCGGAAACCAACCACGGCGCTTGGTGGCACATGGGAGGCGCCCGACTCTGTGGCGCCCCGTGTGGGCAGCAGGCTAGGGCTCCCAGCCGCCAGCGGCCTTTTCAATTACCGCGTCACAGGCGTCCTCGGCCGCATCGAGGAAGACAGGGCGGCGATGGGCCTTGTTGTGTTCACCCTGCACCGCAGGAGTGTTTCTCCAGGCCGCAAACAGGCATATACACACTACGGCTGACATATTCGTTCGTGGACAACCTCGCGATTATGGCGCAGGCCAATAACCAAAGTCATGTATTATTACATCGCGCACAGTCGAGAGAGGGTCGTCTAAACAAGTCGTTCTTGTTTTGGGTTTCAGAGGGACGCGAGAGTCGAGTTGTTGGTAGGCCGCCGTGACCACAATCGAGCTTGCCCCGCGGTGGAGGGGAGAGTGTCGCGATATGCAAGCTTTGGGAACCAAGATTATTGACCAGCGTGGGACGGGGCCGGGGCCTTGTTAGACGTACCAATTCCACGAGGCCTGGTTTCAAACTGCAAAAAGGGAGTCGAGTATTGCGAGTCTCTCGCCCTCACGACGCTGGCGTTTATCTGCGCGGCGTGGCCGTCTTTGACCAAGGCCACGGCCAGCCCGCTGCATCATTCAAATCACGCGGAACAGCGCGACCTCCGTGTGCATATTGGGTCCGCCAGGCTCCGTTATGTCCCCCGCTTGTTGGCCAAAGCCCCCCGCCCAGCAATGATTTGCGTTGTTGGACGACACGTGGCACAGGCAGGGGTGATGGATTGAGTCTTTCATGATGCGTTCCAGGTGGCTTGATAACAGGTGCGCCGACGAGAGAGACCCTGCCATATACCCGCGAAAGGCACCCCAGGACTGGTTCAAGGTTGCCAGAGAGGCGACTAAAACATTCGTCAAGGTAGCTAAGCCATTCCACATGCGACAAGTGTTCCATGGAGTTCAGGGGTCCGTCAACATAGCTCGGAGACAGGAGGTTTGGAAGATCTGCAAATATTCGTGGATACAGCCTGATGTTGGGAGGCCCGAGCCGCAGGTCCAGGAGCAGAATGGCCCCACTGTAGCAGGGTCGCCCATTCGGCTGTCGCGCTCAAGATCACATCAGCAGGAAACATCACGAGCCTCACGACCCACTCCGCCGTGCGAGCGGAACAGTATGCCCCAAGGTTCGTGGCAACACCACAGATTGCGCCGCTTGTTCAGGCATTTGGCTAGGTCGGTATCATTGCCGCACCGCGTGGATAGCAACTGACACGACTGGAGAAGAGTGGTCCAGTGACACTGCGTCTGTCTTTAGAAACAAGGAGAGCGAACATAAAAAGCGGGCGGGCCTGCGTTTTACGCCCAGAGGTTTTCTTCTGACCCCATAACCTTGCACCGACCCGTTCCGCCCCTCGAGCCCGAGGCGAACCCCCTCCCAGCAGCCTGAGGACGAGGAGGGCGGCCAACTCGGTAGGGACAGGGCCCAGGAGACCCGTAGAGAGACGGTTCACATGTGGCTCAGCCGCATGAGTGGAGGACAGGTGGCGGGTTTTTGAGTCGGCTCCCCATGCGAATCTTGAGGCGAAGTGAGGTTCCAGCAGGTTGAGGCAGCTCTCTTTCTCGGCCTTGTGGAAGAGGGGGTTGACATAAGAAGGAAAGTGAGCAGGTTGGCATTGCCAACGATTTGTTCATAACCACAATGGTATTCCTTACGCCTCCCTCCTGTGGGAAATCCCAGGAGGCATGGAACGCCCCGATTGGCCAAGAAGGCTACAGGTCTTGTCATCGTGGAAGCTGGCGGAGGGAAAGTTCCTTGTGGCGCTTCAAAGAGTGAGGATTGTGAGCCTTGACAAGTGTTGCTTGGCGCGGCTCCGAGTGTCAGACCCCATCGGTTCCTCTTGGCCCACATGGACCATTTGGCTGACGCCATCACAAGCAGCAGGGGTGGGGGAAAGTGTTGGCACCCGACAGGCACCCATATGGTGCTTGCTACGGCAGAGCGACAGACGGGTGCTGGCTTGCTCCGCCTGCTAACGCCTACCCCGCCCCCCTCTGTGAGTTCTAGGAACAGGGCTTTGCGCAGGAGTCCCATGACCGTTGGCCGAGGGTGTTCCACGAGGAGCAGGGCCAGCTCCCTGAAGACCTCCTGCACTTTTGGGCCCCTGGGGCCCGGGCCCGGACGCGCCGACGCCCATAGGGGAGGGATTCCGCGGTTGGCCACAGGCGCCGTCGTTCCCCCCCCTGGTCTCGTGGGTGGGTCAGGACGCTCTCGCCCTCTTGCCCCGCCCTTTATAGGGACCCGCCCGTGCTGGGCTCTGGCCGGGTTGCTCGCGCTTCTTGGCCGCCGTGGTTGTTGTTTTTCGTCCCGCGCCCCAGTCTGTCGCTGTTGCCTCGTTTTCTTTCGGATCTGTTACATCGCGGGTTGCCTCCATTCGAAACAAAGAAGGAGGAGGAGGAGGAGGAGGAGGAGGAGGAGGAGGAGGAGACGGAGGAAACGGAGGTGGTGAAGGAGGAGAGGGGGCAGAAGAAAAAAAAGAGAACGGCAGGAGGAGATGAGAAGGAGGAGAAGGAGGAGGTGGAGGAGGCGGAGGTGGGTGAGGAGGAGAGGAGAAAGAAGAAAAAGAAGAAGAGGTCGGGAGGAGGAGGAGGTGGAGGAGGAGGAGGAGCAGGAGGAGGAGAAGGGAGGAGAGGGAGAGGGAGGAGAGGGAGGAGGAGGGAGGAGGAGGAAGATGAGGAGGAGGGAGGAAGAGGAGGAGGGAGGAAGAAGAGGAGGGAGGAAGAGGAGGACGAGGAAGAGGAGGACGAGTAAGAGGAGGACGAGGAAGAGAGGAGAGGAATCCCGCCATCTGCCCCCCCTCGCCTGCCAGGGCAGGGGCATGCGCTACGCGGCCTCGGCGCCACGCGTGAGCGCTGCGCCCTCCGTGCCCCTGGAGGTCCTGCTGGCCACCGATGCTCTGCTGCAGGAGCGAACCGGCAGCCACAGGGCACACTTCGACTCGATTCGATCTTGGCTCCAGAGAAGGAGAATAAGGGCGAGGGAGGAGAGACCAGGAGCAGGGGAGCAGGGAGCAGGAGGAGGAGGAGGGAGGAGGAAGAGTAGGAAGGAGGAGGGAGGGAGGAGGAGGAGCAGGAGGAGGAGGAGGACGAGGGAGGATGAGTAGTAGGAAGGAGGAGGAGGAGGAGGAGGAGGAGGAGGAGGAGGAGGAGGAGGAGGAGGAGGAGGAGGGAGGAGGGAGGAGGGAGGAGGGAGGAGGGAGGAGGAAGAGGATGGAGCAGGGATCAGGGAGCAGGAGGGAGCTGGAGGAGGCCCTCTGCGCGCCTGTGCGCTGCCCCCTGCTGGCGCGGGGCCCGCGGCCCGCGGCCGCCGCGCGCTTGGCCGCCGGGCTCCTGCAGCGCGCGCCGGCGGCTGCGGTTCCGATCTCGATCCGAGTCGGTTTCGGGTTCCGACCTGGAGGCTTTTGCTGGCCTGCCGACGTCCGCCGATTCGGTGGGCTCCCGACCTGGCTGCCGACGTATTGGCCCCCGGACCTCCAGCGCACCGACGAACAGAGCCTTCGGGGGACCGAAACATTAGGCAGACGTCGGAGGGCGGCGCTGGACTCCCCTGGCGACGCCTCCGGCGCCGCCCACTGTCGAGCAATGGCGGAGCGTCCTGGCGTGCCTGTAGGCCTACCAAACAATGTTCTAAGAACCCTTGGTGGTTTCCACGAAATGTCCGTAGAACATGTCTGGCTGGGACTGTGTTGTTTTAACACATCGGTCTTATGTTCTAAGAACATTGTTTTTGTTATTGGAGCATTTGGGGGTTCTAAGAACATGTCGTGGTAGGCCTATAGGAATGCCGGGACGGCCGGTCCCTGCTCAGCATTGCGCGCTCCGCGCGCGCCAGGGATGAGGCACCCAGCGCAGATCCAAGAAATCCGCGCAGACCTCCGAGAGTTTGTGCTTATGCCGTTTTCTGGGCCTCCAAATACTTAAGTGTTCCATCGTTATCGGCCTCTAGGGGCCCTCGCCGGGCCCAGGGACTGTCAAAACCAGCTCGGGATGCAAAACTGGCGCTGGGGATGGGGTCGGGACTTCGGGAACCCCGTACAGAACAATTCAAGACATCAGATCTCTGGGGAGCGGCAGCCAATACAACTCGCGCGCGCGCGAAGATTGAGCCCGCCCGCTCCGGTGGCGGGCGCAGGCGGTAACGTGAAGCCATGGGATCGGGGGGCACCAATTGTACCCGCACCGATCGTGGACAGTCCCATTTGGGGCCAGGGATCGGTGTGATATGCAATCCTGGCCGAGCCAGGAGCGTGCACACACACACACACACAGACACACACACCGATCCCCGGCGACCTGACCAGGATCGGTGTAGATGTATGCTGTAGCTGGCGTCCTCCTATAGGAGGGCGCAGGCAGCGCCCTGGAGGCTCTAGGAGGGCCCTGGAGACCTCGGGATCTAGGACTCCCAGATGGAGTCGGCGATGCTGCGCGACCAAGTATCTCCACGCGGACGTCGCCGATGCACCGCCGACGTCGCCGATGCATCGTCGATACATCGGCTATGAATTGGCGATGCGGCGCAATCCTCCGACCCCATCTGTTCGGACCCCATATGTCAGGAGGGAAAGAAACACACAGACACAATTAATCGTCGACTCCCAGGAAAATATGCAAAAATATGGGAAGTGGTGGGGAAGACAAAAACCCAGAAAAGATGGGAAAATATGAGGGATAATTTTATTTGTGTGTATTTATTTGTGTGTTCCAGTTCCCCTTCAATATGGGAGGCCTCTAAGAAAGCTTCAGGAGATGGGCCCGCACGTGGTCAGGTTTACGGCGGCTCGGTACGCCGATGCCGCAGTGTGTCACGGTCCGTGTCGTGTTTTTGCCATCTCCATGAGCAGCGGGCGGGCTACCAGTGTAGCGGCTAAAGCCACGACACTCGGCCCACACGGCGCGCGTGAAAGCGCATGTTCAGAGGAGGGAAAGTTACCGATACCGCCACGTTTGCCTCCTTTTCGCCTTGTTGGTACGCTTGCCTCGTGTTCGCCTTGTCGGGCCTCCCTGGAGGCCCCCGTCGCCACCGCTGGATTCGCCTTGACGTCTTGGTCAGAACGCACCCCGGGAGAGGTCTGGGGAGTAGCGGTATCGGCACCTTTGGGTCTCTCCATGTTCCGTGCAGTCTTCGAGCTGCGCTGGGGCGACGGGGTGTGGGGCTGGGGCAGGGCCCCCGCGTGGCTCCTACGGAGTTGGCTCCTGAGGAACTCCCGCCCTCCCCCCCTTTCCTGCCGACAGTCCTGCTGGATTGTGGATGCCCCCATCGGTCCCCCCCCCCTGCTGCTCAAGAGGAGTAGAACGGACGGGGGCCTCGACCTCAACGCCCCGGACGTAGGCTGCGTTCCCCTCTGCTTTCAGTTCGGGTGTTGCCAAAGTGGCCCCTGGTCCCAGACTCCCTCCCGTCGTGCTACGAGCACGGCTTTTCCGCTTGTTGTCCTTTCTATGGAGACCCTCACCTGGCCTCCGGGCCGTCCAACAGCGACTCGGGATCAGAAGCCAGGCCCGGGGAGCAGGTCCGGACCTCGACGGGTCCACGCCGTGAAGAGATCATAACGTCGGGGGCCTGGGACCCAAGGTGTCCCCAGATGTCTGGGGAGGCCAAGACGGCCTCTGGAAGACCCCACACGAGGCCCATGAGGGCCGCGTGAGGGCGCCAAAACGACGCGAGGGTCACTACTCACTTATCAATATACACTACTCACTACTCACTACTCACTGCTCCCTACTCCCTACCCCCTACTCCCTACTCGCTCACTGCTCATTACGCACTAACTCACTACTCACTACTCACCACTCCCTGTTCCCAACTTCGTACTCCCTACACGGGACGGGTGAGGATAAACCCGCTCCAGGGCATTCTGGAACGTTCTCAGACCGCCCCGGAACGGTCCGAGAAGGCCGCGGCGCCCGAGACATCCTCCAGAACCGCTGGATCTCAGAGATTCTCGATGTATCCTCACCCGATCAGCCAGGGGGAGGGGCTGTGCTGTCGCCTTAGGTCGGGCATGTCCCCCTACAGGCGGATTTTGGACACAAAAAATATTCGAAAATGGTCAAGAGTGGTCGGAAAATCGTCTTCGGACTATCTTCTTTACCATTTTGGAGAATCCCTCCTGTAGGGGGACACGCCCGACTCAGCTGTCGCCTCGAAGACCTCTGGCTGCCATGCTCCCGAGCCTCCGGGGGCCGCTGCCCAGGCCTCGGCTGCCCCGCGCTCCGCCTGCAAACGTGCGGCCCGGCGTGCCTGGCTGGGGCCCCCAACGCTGATCCGCTTCGGGACGGCTCGCGATCCGGTGCCGCGCGGTCCGATCCGCTTCGCGGTCCGATCCGATGCCGCGGTCCGATGCCGCGGTTCGGCCCGATGCTGTCCGATCCAGCTCCTCCTCCTCCTCCTCCTCCTCCTCCTCCTCCTCCTCCTCCTCCTCCTCCTCCTCCTCCTCCCTCCTCCCTCCTCCCTCCTCCCTCCTCCCTCCTCCCTCCTCCCTCCTCCCTCCTCCCTCCGGTCCGGCTCCGCGGTGCGACTCGGCCCAGGCGTGCCTGCCTGGGGTCAGGCGCGGGATGGGCACGCGGCTCTGGGATGGGCCCCGCCCCCCGGTCTCCCGATCTCGCCTCCGCGAGGAAGACTGTTCTTGATGATGGGCCTGTCTTCCACCACCACCACCGTAAGAAGGAGGTGGAGGATGAGGAGGAGGTGGAGGATGAGGAGGAGGAGGAAGGACCCCCTCCCCCTCCGACTTATGGTGGTGGTGGTGGAAAACGAGCCCATCACTTGATCTGTACTGGCGGACTGCTTCAATCGCTCTTCCTCTCCGCTCTCGGTGCCCGTGAGCCACAGGCGCTCGCCGCAGGGCGAGCCTTCAGCCTGGCCGAGCGCACCACCAGGAGCGACAAGCCGTCGGCGGCGCTGGTCTCTAGGCCTCCCGGATAGGGTCCGAGCAGACGGGGTCGGAGTTTGAGCTGGTTGGGGTTCTGAGGAGGCCCATTGCTGATTCCGGCGAGCAGGAAGGGGGGCAGGTTCGAGGTTCTAGGCTCGGGAAGTTGTTTTGTTGTTTTGCATGTTTTTGCCTCCGTTGGCATTTTTCGGGCCTCAGGACTGTCGCAAACGGATTCCCAGGAGGGGTCTGGGGACCGATTTTGAGCGGATTTGGCATTATCCCCCTTTCCTGACCGACTTTCTGGGGTCCCGCCAGTACAGAACCCCGGTCGCCTCCAACATCTGAGGACATCGCCGATGCATCCGCGATGCGGCTCGATGTTGAGTCCGGTTTTTCTCCACGCCGGCAACGCCGATGCACCGCCGACGTGGCCGGTTTGTCGGCGATGCGTCGGTGATGCATCGGCGATACGTCGGCGATGCACCGACGATGCAGTGCGATCCTCCAAACCCATCTTCTTTGACCCCATCTGGGCGACACGCAGTCGGCGGCGCTGGTTGAATCGAAACAGAAGAAATGTCATAAACATAACAATCGACGCTCCGCGCGGATCTGCTCTGCGCTGGACCCCCTTGGCAGCGCGCTCCGCGCGCCAGGGAGGGGGGGGCGCCAACCGCAGGTCCAATAAATCTGCGTGGGGCATCGATAGTTCATGCTTGTGTCATTGTTTGTTCCTCGATTGAAGCCGCCGTCGTTGCTGCAGGCCTCCCAGGTGTCCCTGCTCTGCCCCCTAAAACGACGACGACGACGACGACGACGACGACGACCCTGCCTGCCGCCTGCAGGAGGTCCCGCGCGAGAGTGGCGCCGAGCCGCAGCGGTGCCCTGGGTGCGGCTGTCAGGCCACCCGTGCCGCGCCTTCCCTCGGCCAATAAGAGGGGTGTCCAGCGCCGATCCAAAGCCTGCGTGGAGCTCCAGCAGTGTGCGTCTGTGCCGCTTCTCTGCTCCACGGAGTAAGAGGGCCTCGACTTCGAGGACCCGGGGAGGTGGCACCTCTGCCGCGGCGGAAGGCCGGCGCGGGGCGGCGGAGGCGAGGCGAGGGCGCCTCGCGGAGGCTGGCGGATGTAAGAAGTGCGCCCCAGAGAGCCGGCAGTGCTTAGGGGTTCGGGGGTTCCAGATCTCTGGACGCCCGAAATGGGTACTGAAAGAATGGGTACAATGCCCAACAGCAGTTCCTGTTCATTCTGAACAGGATTCGCTGTCCACGCCGCCGCGGCCTGTGTCCATTCGAGACAGGAGGCCGCCCGCCCAACAGCGGCCGCTGTTGGTTTGGGACAACATTGGTTGTTGGGCATAGTGCCCATTCTTTCCGTACCCATTTCGGGCGTCCAAAATGCACGTTCCCAGAGCTTTCCACGCACTGAGTTTCAATGCGCAGATGTTTCTCCGTTTTCGGCCTCTGGGGGCCCTCACGGGCTTCTTAGATTGTCAAAGACGACTCCGGACGCAAAGCCCGTCCTAGGGGAAGGGCCCGGATTCCGGGGGAAAAAATAGCATGGGCGAGCCCAGCATATATTTGATTTGATGGTATTTGTGACGACTTGCGCACCGTGTGAGCGGTGTCCGAAAACATGCCACGCTTGCCACGCTGTGCGAACCTACGGATAGTGCCCCCATCCTCAGCGCACCCCCTGCGGTGTCGAAAAAGTGCTACGACCGCCAGACCTTGCGACCCTACAACGGATAGCGCCCCCACCCTCAGCGCGCTCCTTGCGGTGTCAAGAAAATGCCACGATCGCCACCCCCTGAGAGCTTACAACGGATAGCGCCCCCACTCTCCGCGGTCCCTGCGGGGTCAAGAAAGACCTGCCACGCCTTGCGACCCTACAACGGATAGCGCCCAAACCCTCAGCGCATCCCCTCCAGCGTCGAGAAAGTGACACTCTTGCCACGCCTCGCGGCCCTGCAAAGGACAGCGCCCCCACCCTCAGCGCACCCCCTGCGGTGCCCAGACAGCACCACGCCTGCCACGCTTTTCGTCCCTACATCAGACAGCGCCCCCACTGTCAGCGCACCCCCATGCGGTGCGGAGAGAGTGCCACGCCTGCCACGCTTTGCGACCCTACAACGGATAGCGCCCCCACCCGCAGCGCACCCATTGTGGCGTCGAGCAAAGTGCAACGCCTGTCACGTGTTGGGACCCTACAACGCACGTGTCCTCAGTCTCCGAGTTACTTGTATATGTGCGTGTGGCGTGCATGTGTGTGGTGTCTAGTTATGTGTACTTGCTCTTGTGTCTGATGCGTGCGCGAGTGCTGGTGAGAAAGAGAGGAGGGAGGAGAGGTGAGGAGGTGAACGCGGGTGCGACGCGGGTGGGAGAGAAAGCTAGAGCCCAACTTAGCATGTGGGTAACATTATCACGGATATATGTGGGTAGACGTGTTTCCCTCACACAACAGTGTATATATCTGTATATAGAGAGGGAGAGAGTCACCACCCACCAAACCACCCCAACCCAACCCGAAGGCCCCAATTTGCCCTCCATTTCCAGTGGCGGGGGGGGGGTCGGGGAACATTGAAAAAAACACATGGAATCCGTACCCCACCCCAATTCGAAATTCGGATCAAATTCGGGTCTTCGGGTTGGGTTAGGGTGGTTTGGTAGGTAGTCAGAGAGAGAGAGAGAAAGAGAGAGAGAGGGAAAGAGAGAGAGAGAGAAAAGGACAGAGGCCACGGCCTCACCCGCCCAGCCTCAGATTGGCCCAGAGGGTGCTCCGCAGTGGTGGCTCGCTCGCTCGCCGGGCCGAGGGCACTGATGGAGCAGCTTGGCAGCCTCGAGCTTTCGGGCTCCGAGGCACGGAGTTGTCTGGGGGGCAGCCGTTTGCCCTGATGCGTGGGGGGGTCCTGGAGGCGTCTCGTCGCCGCGGATGGGGGCAGTGACCTGCCATTGGGGGCCTTTACACGTCCCCAGGACCTTCAGAACGACCGTGGTTGAAAAACCGGCCTTGGGGAAGGGGTCTAGACCCTTGGGGTTCCAATTTGTGAAGCAATCGCGGCGTCGCGGGTCTGGAGAGGATCAGGCTCGGTCTGCAGATACGATTCACAACGACAGATGAAACGAAACTGGCGCATCTCCCAACATCGCCTTATCAGGATCCGATCGGTTTTTCGCAGGGAGCGGCCTTTAAATTCAGGATCATCTCATCTTGAGTTTGTGCATTTAGTGCTTGCGACATCCTTGATCATGTCCGCCGCCGAGAACCCACTCGGGGGGACCCATCCCTGGCCGTGCCACCGCCCAGGGGTCGGCCTCCCGATGGGTTCTGTGATCCGTTCCTGCTCTGAGCAAGTGTCGAGGGACGTGTCGACGGTGGTGCCTCGCCGAAGTCGCTGTTCACGTGCTCGCTCTTCTTTGTGTGCGGACTGACCACAATTCTGCTCGCGGTCACTGCAGCCACGGCCTGAAGCGGTGGGGGTACTAATTCGTGTGGATTTGACGGTCCGCCTTCCGTGAGATATTTTCAGCGGGTGGTCGCGTCAGATTTCAGACCAGGTCCCGCCAGTTGTACGACGTCCATGTCGGACAGGTTCGAATACCCACATTTCAAGTCTTCCGTCGCGCAGATATCCTCTGCCGCGTACGGGAAGAGTCCCCTAGACAAGCGACATGCTAGCTTTTCTGGAGAGAAGTGCGAGCGTGTGTCACCAAAGACGAAACATGACATAGGCGTCACGGACACATGCAATCAGATGGAGTGAGGTCGGGATTTCTGCGGAACAAATGTTTGTGTACGGAGTGCGCGGGCAAAGAAGTGGTTGCACATGTATGCTTGTTTTGAGGTTTGCGCGGTGTGCCGTTTACGGAAGTTCGCCGCAACGTCGTGACAGTTGTGTCACAAGTTTCGCAGAAACAGTCGCGCATCACACATACGGAATGTCATACGTCTGCATGCCCACTCCAATTCCCATCGTTCTGGATGCTCCGCGCATCCCCATTCACCAGCCCCTCCAGCCACGATGCCCAGGCGAGTTGTTTTGGTCAGGGGATGATAGAGCATGCAGTGGAGCAAAGCGGGGGAAGCCGTCAAACTGAAAGTTTTGATCAGCCTGCGCAGACACAGGAATAAGCCACACATCCCCGTTGTAACAGAAAATGGCAAAGGGATAAAAGCCGAAACGATTTTGAATCAGACCAGGCGGGGCCCGTCGCATCCAGTGACATCCGCCTGTCAATGTTACGGAAGAAAGTATCGTGTGCATTGCGCGGTGCATGTTGATCATCCAATTGTGGGGACGAAGCCGCAAAGCAGAACGTGGAACCCCCCACGCCAGCGGCATTGTGACGGTTCAACTTGGAAGAGCACCTGGACATCAAAAGGCGTCCGTTTCCCAGTGTTGCCACAGGGCGCGCAGATCAAATTATGGCATATCAGTGACTTGGCCCATGGTGCACGCTTGCGCACGCTGCCAACATTGAAAGGCGAACCTCACTCAATGATCCTTTTTGGGCGCTGCCGTTTGCAGATCACTCAAGATGGTTGTATTGCTGATGTTGCGTATATCCAGCTGCCTGCGGCAAGTCCTGTCACCGTACCAGCCCAGCATTCTAGTTGGCTTGTGTTCGAGGTGGCACGGGGGGCCATCACGCGTGACACAATGTGTCTCCAGGCTTGGGAATGCCGTGGTGAGGAGGAGGACCAGGATCAGGAGGAGGGAGGAGGAGGAGGAAGAGGAAGGCCGTCACGTGTGACGCATTTCGTCGCTACCATTGAAGGAGCTCTCATGGAACTCGTTTGGGCTGTCTTGTGGCTGGATTGGCCTCCTCTGGGGCAGTCTTGGGTGTTCCTTTTGGGCCCTGTTGGGCAGGTCCTGGGCCCTCTTAGGCCGTCGTGGGGCTATATTTGGCCGTCGTGGGGCCCTCTTGGCCGTATGGTGAGCGCCCCGGGGCCATCGTGGCGCCGTCCTGGGCTGTCGGCGGGCCTGCTAAGGCCAGTATGGGTCCTCGGGGAGCCCTCCTTGGACCGTCTTGGGTTTGTTTGGATGCATATTCGGGCCTCGCGGATTTTTGTTGGGCCATGTTTGGACTTTCCTGGGGGCCCCCTATGCGTGTTAGAGACAAGGTGGAGAGTGCTCGGGCCGCCTTGAGCGTACGGGATCCCTACAACTCGAGAGTGCGAAAATCAATCAACAATCGGGCCGGTTAGAGGTCCTCTTGGGGTCCTCTTGGGTGCATATCGGGCCGTTTTGAAGCCATCTTCGGTTGCCTTGGGGCCACCTTGGCCCGTCGTCGAGGCATCTTGGTTCATAGTTGTTGCCTGCCTGGGCCGTGTTGGAAGTCCGAAACATTGACGCAAGGTCTCTTGTTTGGCCGAGGGATCATGGTTTTGGGAGCGCGGACCCATTTTATTGTTTCATCCAGAAACGTGGTTTCGGGGGCCCGCGGTGCGGGGGGCCCCCGATTCGAATACAAAATACCCATCAGCGCAACGCCTGGCATTTTAACACACCCAGGTCGTGCAAGCACCCAACCGAGTGTGGGGAGGAGGAAAAAAACAAGAATGAGGCGTGAGAAGGAAGAGAAAGAGGAGGAGCAGGAAGAGGAGGTGGAGGAGGAGGGGGAAAAAGTATGATGGAGATGGGGGCGGGGCAAAGCGAGCATAAAGCATGTGAGTTTGACGGAGCACATCCCCATTCGATGTGTGATCAACCATCGGTGGAAGGAGAAAGAGGAAGAGGAGGAACAGGAAGAGGAGGCGGGAAAACAACCGGGTGTAGTATAGCCCCATGGTATTGGGTGTTCCGCCGCGTTGTTTCAATATTTATGTACGTATGTATGTTGTACACACATAAACAGAGAGATAACGTTGCCCTTCTGCGGCCTCAGTGCCAGCACCTTCAGGAT